TTCAGATTTTCAATAATTCTGGCCAAATTTTCTATTTAATTCCGGCTGAATTTAACTTATCCAAAGAATTAAATTAAACTATGGTCAAATTGATTTCCCTATATTTTAAATAAATTACAACAATAATTATTTACTCTGTAAAAAAAAGTCGATCTGTTTTTTATATTCCATCTTTTTTCCGTAAAAAACTCATATTTCCCAAAATTAATAACCTTATGTATCACGGAATTTATTGAATTATTTACATTTCTGTGAATAGATCCGTGAAGGGCTAAGCTTATAAAGCTTTTACAGAAAATCCGGATAAAGTTTTTTATAGGGGTTAATTTTCATAAATTAAAATTGTGTCAAAGATGAGTCACAAATTTATGATTTAGCTGTGCCACATTAAAAATTAAGCCAACAGATTTCTTGTAAGGGCAATTCAATATTTGTGATTTTACGTAAAATTCTTAAAATCTTCATTTATTTTTCAAATAATTGCTGCATCATAATATTCATACATGTAATATAAATTTGAATTTTTATTTTTAGTTTATATTTTTAATTGTATAATTGTGTAAATCACAATTCACAAAATCGCTGCTTAAAGATGATCTAATTTATAACCAATTGTTTTTTTAAGATTTAAAACATTTTTATTAGAAAAAAAAGATTAAATATTAAAATCTAGAAAATTATAATTGTTAATTGTACAATGCTTCGGGTCTCTGGACAGGCAGGACTGGTTCCAAAATGCAGCCTTCTAGACCTCTACCCTGATTAAAATTTTGCATGCCCAGCCTATAAAAACGAAATGTGTTGTTTGTTTTATATTTGTGCTCATGTGTAATAAATGTCTAAAAAAGCACCATTTGTTTAATTTTTGTTTTTTTGTTGTGCTTTTTTAGACGCTTTTTATACATGAACACAAATATTAACACATTTCATTTTTATAGGACAGGGGTAAATTTGTAAACACTCGTTCAGCGCTACGAAAAAGTGCGTTGTAATGACTGACTAATAAAATTTATGAAGGAATATATAAAATAATTGTAAATAAAACATTTTTTGTACAGTAATTTGTTCGTATTTTATTTTATTTTTAGGAAATTATTATGATTTCTCAAAATTATTCGATATTTTTAATGTAAAATAAAGTAAAAATGTAATAAATTTGAATATGCACTAACAGCTAAGTCAAAAAAAAAAAAAAGTATAAATCAAAAAGTTTTTATTCGTTACTGTCACGTTAGAAAAATTTCAATATTGGTGTTAGTCTATCATACTACTGAATGTAAGAAATTACCTTTTGAAATAACCTTTTTAAGCGCTTCCTCTTCTCTCAAAATAATGTAAACATTCACCTATTAACGAGTCATTCCCATCTGCAAGAATCTTTTCCACATCAGTTTTTCTGCTTTAATTATTGTAAATATTTTATATATAGATATAATCTTTGATCATATTTTCTCGCAATTAGAAACTACAGCTTCTTTTATTGATCATGGCAACTTTTTTTTTTTTTGATTTACTTGTAAGTTTTTAAATTCGAGGACCCGAAATATATAAGGTTTTGATTTTTGCTTACGAATCATGGTGATCTTTCCTTTTATAGGTAATCCTGGCCGAAATATGAAGGTAGTAGGATAATCGGTACGGTACGAATTTGCAAACCTGTACGGTACGGTTGATCACCCATACAAAATTACAAAATTTGATCAACATGACCGTACCGTACCGTACTAAAGAGAAAATCAGTATGGTACATTTAGCATATAATTAATTGGACACCAGTGTCAATTTTAATAATTTGGACACTAATGTCCAAAATGTTCATTTTGATAATTTGGACACCAATGTCCAAAATGTTCATTTTTGTAATTTGGACACCAATGTTCAAAATGTTCATTTTTGTAATTTGGACACCAATGTCCAAAATTTTCATTTTAATAATTTGGATACTAATGTCCAAAATGTCCATTTAAAACAATAACCGTACTGTACTGTACTGGTTCTATATATAGAGAGATTATTATAGAGCCAGTACGGTACGGTACAAAATGATTATCACAAAAATTGATCAACCGTACCGTACAGGTTTGCAAATTCGTATCGTACTGGATAAATATATATTCAAATATAATTACCCTGAAAAAATGTGTACAGCTTTATTTTGACCGTCACGACCTCTGCTGTATATATATTTCGGTCCTCTTTCATTCTTGTCTGATATTCATTATAATTGAGCTTCTATCATATGTGGAAGAGTTGCCGAATCTGGCTTAAATCTATTATAACATTATTTAAATCATCATATTAGTCATGATTAGAAAATTTCTGTATTTTTACCTTTATTCCTCTCTTACCCTTATCTTTTACTCTTTCCTTCTTCCAATTTTCCTTCCTGCCTTTCCTTCTCGCACTTTGCTCCCTTACTCTTGCCCTCTCACGCTTCCTTCTTGTCCAGATCCGATACCATAAAGTATCATCGCTTTCTTGAAGACAGTAAATTGGAGAACCTGTTATAGGATCAACATTTCCATTTCTATAAAATCAATCAACTAAAAGAAAAGGATTAATACGTCCATAATTTTTCTTTTCCTTCTTGTCTTTCCTTTCTCTTCCCTTTATTTTCGTCCCTTGCCACTTCCCATCTTACCGCGCTGGTGATTAAGTGACAGTTTTTGATGACTTGGCCAAATTATCATAATAAAATAATGTTTAAATAATATTCATTTTTTCAATTTAATCATACCGCTTACTATAACAAACACCATAACAATTTATAATATAAAGAGAAATTTAAATTTTATTATTAAAATTTTCCAATTAGATGAAACAATAATGTACTGCATATATTGTTTAAAATGATTTTTTCAAGAAACATCAATTTTTCTCGTTCAATATTCAATAAAAGAATTGGTATTTAGAAAGCTTAAAAATTTTGTGCTAGTGTACCGTTTTTAAAAATCCCGGAATTTTGTTTGACATAGGAAATTATTTGTAACATATGAAGATTACGCTGTGGATTATTATAATGAATTTAAATTTTATTTTATTGGTTAAAAAATTTTTTTCTTAAAATAAAAATCCGGGAGGCCGGGTTCAAAAAAGGCAAATTATGATGTGAAAATAGAATTAATCATTGATAGCGCCCTATAAAAAATTTTCCAGAAAAAGATCACGTGACTGAATTGTATTCCAATTATTTCGGATATTATTCGATGACAGCCTTTTCGATAAAAACTAGAAAAATGACCATTTATCGATGATCAGATTAAATTTGTGTAGCAAATAAATAAAGGCTAAATAAAGGGTAATCAGTAAATAGAACAGTAGGAGGAAATATGACCATAATGGCGTAACATGATTTTATCGGAAAAAGCTTGTTATATTAAAAATAAGAATACCGTATTTTATTAATTATCAAAAGTATTTCCTTAATAGTCTTTCATCCATATTAAAAATAAATTTTCTGTTATGGCTAGATCCGTACGATAATAATACGTGGTCAATTGTGTGATCGGCTATAAATTTTGCCACTGACGGACAAATTTTTAACCAATCCATGTGAAAATAAGTACCTTGGTGTTATAGTAATTACTTCAAAAAAATTTTCTTCTCGCGTTAATTATTATTATTATTTTTTTTCTTTTTGAGCTTTTTTTTCATTTATTACACTAAAACAAGCCAATTTTTGATTGGTTTATATTTTTGAACTTCAATTTCGTTATTGTTTTGATATTATGTGATGTTTAAATAATGCATCATTCCCGTTATGCCAATCATCAGGTTGTATTTCGGTAATGCGAGAAATTTTATCCACGCAATTCATGACGTTATTATACGCTTGAACCCTTTATCAATTTCAAATCATTTTCCAAACACTGTACTAAATATACTGTACCATTCGTTAATAATTCTATTTATATAATCTTTAAAATTTTTTCCCTATTTGCCTAATAACACATGCTAATTTTATATGTATATATTATTCCGGATATCTGATTAACATCTAATCATTTGAAGAGATTAATTTGGATATTCTGCGGATAATGTCTTGGTTCTTATTTATTTTAAAAGATATCTATATGGATATCTGATTCTGAATTCTGAATACTTGTTATTGCTATTAATGCTAATAAATTTATCTCGATAAAAACTTTTTTTTTTCTCTGTTAAAAATATCAATAATTCCTTGTCAACTTCTTGCTGATTGTCTATTAGTAATAGATTTTAATGTGAAAAGGAAATTATTATTTGTATATTATTAGAAAAAAAATTACACAAAACTGTTACTATTTTATAAGGGATTTGCTGGGGAAAGTTGACTGTATAATATTTAAGGGGACTATCACAGCAAAAAGTGGTGATACAATTTACAATTTTAGAAAAATTTATGCAAAATAATTTATTAAAAACATTATTTTATTTTAATCTATATTATATAGTTATTAGGTCCGTCCAATCTGCATACAATGATCAAATTATCTAATCTGCAATACTATAGAATCTTGGCATAAGCGTTTTGTCCAACTAAATGAACGAATAAAAAGAAAGTTTTACATAATAGAACTTTCCACGATGTAAATTAAATGTTGATAGTATCCAAAAATGAATTAGTGTATTCTTACTAATACGAAATCACGTGATTTTATGTGCTGATCCAAGGATTAAAAATTTAATTTATAACCATTCAATCTTTTAACTCCATCAATGTATCAAAGAATCATGAATAATTTTACTGCTTCAACAATGATTCAGCAAAGTAATTTATCGATTTCTCAAGTTATACAAATGAATGAATACAAATTCTTTCATCTGGACGATGGTAATTTTTATCATGTAACTTGTCAAATTATTTTACGTGGTTCTATCTTGGATGACCATGATTACGATCATGGATTTTTTTATCATGGGTCTACAATAAATTATTATGTTAAATGTAAATTATTTTCATATCCTTTGATCATAAAAATATTGAATAAAGAAATATACGGGATAGACATCGACATGAATAACTTTGAACGAAAAAAATCATTATCTTTGGATCAAAAATTAAATCTAGAACAAGATTTGAAACAGATTCTTCCATTTTACCTCACGCAAAATCACATTCCCCAAAGTGAAATGAGGATTGATTCTAATATAAATATGAATCCAATTCGGGGACAGAATACAGAACAAATGGTTTCGATGAATGATGTCGTAGATTATACTTATAATGTCACTCAACCACAGCAACAAATTGATTCCAACAATGTCTCAAGTTTTAATAGAAATTCAAGTTCATTTCACAGAAGTATTGGAAATAACGTAATAACGACCGACAACCAAAATAATGTTAACGGAGGTTACATTCACAATGTCATTCATCCACAGCAACAAGTTGACTTCAATGACATATCACCACCTCAGATGAGACCTGTATACAATAATTATAGAAATACAAAATCGTCTAACGAAAATATTGAGAATAATTTAATGACAACACAAGTAACTTCAATGATTGATAATCAAGTATCCCACCAAAATAAAGTTGAAGATACTAAAGATGTTCAAAATAATTTTCCACAACGTCAAATTCCTGAAAGAGAGACGATACCATATTGTGATAAAAATACAAATTCACTTCAGAATGATACATTAACACATGATGTTCCAATGACTGATATTAATTTTGACCATCGAGATACATATCATTTCTACACTCCTGTCGAGGGAATAACAGCACAAGCTATTCCGATCACTGATGTTAATCAAAATTATGATGATAATGACGTATCATACAATGATAACCACGACGTAAATATTAATTCATCCAGCAAATTGATCTCCGACAAATATCGAAATTTTTAATCCAGAAATTATTTTCTCAATTCGTTTTATGCTGAAAATTAGCAAATTCTTCGAAAAATTTAAATCGGCTTATAATAATATGATTGTAGACGTTTTAATTTTTATGAATATTACAACCAGTTTATAGTAAGTAATTAATTACGATAATTCCTAAAATGATTAAGCAAAAAAGAAAATACAAATTTGTATGAAAAAATATACGGTATTTAAAATTATTAACAAATTGTTAAGATATGTAAATTATTAAGAATCAAAAAATTATAATATTTATGATGTATTAATATCAAAACTTTGATGTTGCCGCCGGTCAACAAATTTTTAAATAAAAAATTGTCTTTTTTAATAGCGTATATATAATACTTTGAAATTTTATTATATACGATAAAGCTCATTCTCTTTCTCAAGTTATTCACGTCCAATCGCTAGAACCACCCTGCTTCTCATCAGAAAATGAACAAAATGAAAGTGAAAGATATCCCGCCCCTTTTTTGGAACAAAAAAGAAAATATAAAAAAATGATTTGGGTTAAATTTAATGAGGAACCTATAAATATAGTGGTGAAGATGTTTCGAACGGACTGGATAATTTCAAGATTAAATTACATTCTCAAATAATTGGAGCACGATTAGACTATTTTTCGTTCTGCTTTACCAAATAACAAATATATGAAAAGTGAAAACGGAAGGTTTTATTTCGTAAAATCTAACATTACAGTTGAAGTTTTTCAAGTTACTTTAAGGTATTTACTGCCAAAAATTTTAAAATTTAATATTTTATCATTTTATAGTAACAGATACATTTACCATTATATTAAATGAGCTGCTGACGAACTTCTTCAAAAAGAAATATCCGATTATTTACAAAGATATTTAATTGAAAATAAGGGATGAGACCAAATTTTGAACTTGCTTACCAGATAAGCTTTCAATCTAATAACTTATTAGAACTTTAATAATTTTGTAGTACGGATTTAATGGCCAAATCACCTGAAAGAGATGATTTACAAATGAAGGAAATTGAAGTTTGGGATATGCATTAAAATGGGAACTTGATAAGAACCCAAATTTATTTCGGATCTTACTATTTGGTCAGAAAATGATTTCCGAATCATGAAAGATACTTTACAACATTGTTTATCTTTGATTAGATTCTAGTCTTTCATCTAGAAAAAGTTCGACCTTACAAAAAGCTTTTAAGATGTCAATTTTATGAAGAATTATTAATATCTTATCTGAATCCTGATAGTAAGTAAACCAAATGATAATATTTGCTTCCTAGTAAGACGTAGGAATATTATTGATGGAATTATAGACTCAAAAATATATTATTTCTATAATTTCATTATGTTTTGACAAAATTGATGTTAATAATAATTCAGATTTATATGGTAAATATAATTCTTTTGTATATGCAAATTTAATGTTAAGAGGAAGTAGAGTTACTCTCAAAAAGTTTCACGTGATTTTAATAATCATAACTCAGTCACGTGATGGGAACAGAACAATTTTATTGGTAGATCGTAAATAAAGTGTATAACAAGAACGTAACTTAAATTTAAGGTGTATACTCGCTCGGCGATCTGCAATAAGCGTATAACTTAAAACTAAAAACTATAATAAAATTATAGTAACTGATAACAAAAAACCTATCTATTTCTGCTATAATAAAATATAATTAATTATACGAAGTTTAATCTGCAGTTCCCGCACCACAGCAACTAGCCCGGGTAACAAACTACCAATATCATTTACGGTACACTAGTACAACATTGACAAACCAGGCTGTGGGTTATTTGTTAAAATAAAAATCCGAGTGGCCAGGTCCAAAAAAGGCAAATTGTAATAATAGTTTATAACTTTGCATCATTATTTTTTACTAACCATTTTAATCTTAATTTTAATTTATTTAAGCGTTTCCTAAAAAACATTCTAAACATTCTAAAATCAAAAAAAGGATAATCATATGAATTCGACGCCAAGCGCAAATTTGTTTAGTAAATAAATAAGGGTTAATCGGACAAATAGGACGAGGAGAACACATTTTCTCAACAACAAAACAATATAGTTGAATCGTCGGCGTCCTATTGGTTATTACAATTATTATTTTGAAGAAAATACTATTATTACTATTATCATTGCAACATTGTTAAAATATCTCTAAACAGCAGTTTTGTATATTATAGTTATTATGTATTACACACATTTATATAAGCGGCTGTTATTCATACCCACGATTTTGTTATGCGTACCCTCTCCCCAACTAGTTTGTCATTTAACTTTCATTTTTCAATGAATGGCCCTATAAAAATGTTTGTCTGATAAAATATTCGGAATGGGGTCGATTTTCCGAACACTCGTACGTTATTATACAATATTTGTTACAATATAATACAAGATGCGGAGGGGGTTAATTTTCTGAACAAAAAACCGAACAGTGTTTGGAAAACTTTTTTTATAGGGCCGCTTGTAGATCATAATTTATTACAGAGGAAGGGGTACGAATAACAAAAATGGGGTACGAATAATGGCCGCCCTTATATAATATAATAAGACTTTTATTTCTTTGTGTTATAAGTATAATTTATAATAATAATTTTGTAAAATGATTTTTTTTTTATTTTTTCTTTTTCGAAAATATTTTCTACTTTTCTACTGGAAGATTTAGTTAAATGTTTATTTTTATTTTTCTTTTTTGCTAGCCCTATAAAAAATTTTATCCGTTATTTCTAAAATATAAATAATTCGATAAATTCCGTGATATAAGTTATTAATTCCGGAAATATGATCCTTTTATGGAAAAAGATGGAATATAAAAAACGGATCGACTTTTCTTATAGGTATTTTAAATAAAAGTATAAATAATATTATTCAAAAAGTCATATTTTCAATTAACTATTATTATTAGTCCGGAGCGTCTATATACAGTATGTTTTGGATGAGGTGGTACAAAAGCAAATATATCGTTTTTGATTAAGGAGGTGATGCTTTTTGATTATAGAAGTTAGTTGTACAAACTGTTGTATCGTTTTTGATTATTGAAAAAATAAATGTATCATTTTTGATTATTGAAAAAAAAATTCTATCGTTTTTGATTATTGAAAAAAAATGTATCATTTTTGATTATTCGATAGTATCACATGGTCACATGCATAGATTCGACATACTGTACATATCGGAGACTTTATTCACTAAATAATTTCAAATTACTAAACTTATTAATCGTTATTTTTGTTTCCTTACTATTTACTGTTTCTTGTATATTTTTATTAAGCCATTTAAAACAAAGAATTGCCAACATTCATATGTCATAAATTTAATCCTTATTTTCTCAAAATTTGTCTTTATTACAACTAAAAGACAATAGTATTAATCAATCATCTATTTCATTGCTATGCATATAAACTCCAAATTCAATACTATCATTTAAAATTTCTTTCGCATCTTCAAGTGTTATACTATTATTACGGTCCTCTTGAATCAGACGTAATGTTACTTCTGGTACTAGAACTTCGTAAATAAAATCCATAGGGTCTAATGGGTACGTTTTGTCTTTTGTGAGATTATTAGAGTTAACAAACAATTCTATTAAAGTATTAACAATAGTATATAACCCATTAAACCCATAATAACCTGGCTGTAAATTAGTAAAGCTAATTAATAAAATATAAACAAAATTTATATTCAAACAGATAATTACCAACCTGAAAAACTTCAAATCGATTCATGAGCATCATTGGCGCCTTGGCTTTATTATATCCGACTTCTTTATATATTGAAGATGCAATATCCCAATAGTAACTTGAAATATTTCCGTTAATAATTTCAATGAGATCTTTTTCAAATTTGATTATGCGTGATGGAAGTACATTAAAATCGATATATTCAGGATATCCTTTTGATAATCCATGTGGAACAATATTCAATTCACCATGATGCATTATACAAAAAGACCAACGTTCTTCTTCTGTGATTGGCTTGTTTTGTAGATTTTGTAACTGGTCTTTTATCTTTTCTGGTAAAATATCTGGTAGGATATTATCACAATAGGGGCATAAATTGTGAGAATTAGGTACTAAATCAAATTCTAAATCCAAGTTTAAATCATCATTAGATGGCAGTTCTGGAAGATATTGAAATACATTGCGGGGTGGGCTTGGCATTATAAACGATGATGATGATGCAAATGAAGATGTACTTCTTCTATCTATTAAATAAATATAGGTAAAGAAATTAATAATACAGATATTAATGTTATTACGTTAAATATATATCTTTACCAGTACTAATTGAAGATAAATTATCTTCTCGTTTTCGTTTAAGATTTCGAATTTGTTTTGTTTTCCTTTGTTGTATAGAAAACGTATTACCAGATTGTGATTGGTTTGGTAAATTTATTCTATGGGACGATCGAGGTTTAGCAGATAATTTAGGAGGTGCGCCTAAATTTGATTTTGTTCTTTCACTTAATTCTGCTGGCCGAAATGGATCTTTAATCTCCTGAGATGACCGTTTAAGTGGATAAAATATTTTATTACCTAATGAGCAAAAGTAAGATTAATATAATAAATAACAATAATAATTTTTAAAAAATTATTTCAAACATCTTACCTTGCATATTATATAATCTAATAATTTCTTGATAAGAATCTTCCATGTCACCTTGATATATTACATTATTTTTTATAGACGCGGGAACTACTCGTTCCTTATTACGAAAATAGAGAACAAGATTTTTCTTTGCTTCGTTTACAACTTCTAGATGTCCTTTTTGTTGTGTTTCTATAAGCAAAGTGGCTGCATGACAGTGCCTACATTTATCACGTAATGAACTATTCCATATGTATTCCCAGCATGTACATTCACCAGTAATAACATTACATATATGAAATCCTTGTTCTAATATTACATTTTCGGATAATAAAGATTTCATAAGAAAATTGATCATATCATTTAATTTTCGTACAATTTCCTCATCTAGACGCAAAGGCTTATCATCATAAGAAGATACGAATAAATCATCAGATTTTTTTTTAACAAGAAAAGTATTTTGGTCTGATGATATCTTAACCATATTAAGAAGAAAATCTAATCTTCCTTGATTTAATCTTCGAAGTTTATCACAACATATCATATCATCTTTAGTTTGCTATAAATAATTTAAAATAAATTAATTTAATAATATTATTTAAAAATGATAACGAAAAAATTCTTACCTGTTCAATCGTTTGAGTATTGAATAAAGTAACTAAACCAGATTCAAACTTATTTAAATCTTCATGACTTACAATAGTTTCACTTTGAAAATTTATTCCATACATTCGTTCAATAAATGTCAATGGTGTTTGTTTACCACTATATACTGCTTCAATTGTCCTATTGATCCGTTCTGTAAAATTGTTTGTAGTCCATGGAAATCTGTTTGTAATATTTTTGGAAATACGACCAGCATCAATAAAACTTAATCGCCACTCTGTGCACATCCAATTTTTAGATAAATCATCTATTAATTTATCTTTCTTGGTTTTTTCCAACGGAAGAGTGTTAATAAATTCAATATATTTCTTAGCCATTTCAATGGCAGTTTCTTCAGTTCGACTACGACCTACAATTTTAAACGCTAATGCTATTGGATATCTAAACAATAAAATAATTAATTTAGTTATCAATTTTAATAAAAAAAAATTAATATAATATATAACTTACCTGAATTTTGCAGGTATCTGCCATTTATTTAAATTTTCACTAAAAGTTTTCATAATATGAAACCAACATAAAATTGGTTTATGTGAAGCATTTTGGATAGCAAGTTTAGATGGTCTATGCTTATCAATTAAGATATATGGCTTCCAATTATTGTTTTGACATTCACGAACTCGTTGAAATCCGTTTCCAGATAAAAGATTTTCATAGTACCACTTGTGTTCACAGAACTCGTTATCACATGGGATATTTTTTTTAATAGCGTCAATAGCCAATTTTATAGTATGATGATTTTCCTTATTAAATAGCGCTAATATATATATTTTATTTACAATTTAATAAATTACAATAAATTATATACTAAATAATTTAATATATGTCAAATTTTACTTACCAAATGCAACAGGCAATCCGCAACCAGCACTATTCTCAGTAACAATTGATAATACCGGTGCACGGTCCAAATTTAAATCATATTTACCATCTATTCCGATACAGATTTTACCGTAATCACGAGCATTTTTTAACCAAAACTCATCAGAAATTGTAAGTTGATAATATCGGTCAGGTGAATCAGCTGGTTGATTAATGTCTGCTATTTGATAATATAATATAAAACCTTGAGATTTTAATATATTATTTACTAAGCTATCAAGCTGAGTCCAAGGACCAGTATCATCCTTTAATTTCTTATCATCTCTGGCAACAAATTGCCGGAGTTTGTCATTATTACATATTATACGTTGGCTTGCTAATGCATTGTTAATTACTTCTTCTGATGCACCATTAAGTGATGTTAATAATTTCGCTTTTATCCCTTTGGCTGTCCTGTGGTCTGCTCTTCTGCTTAATGCTATCGAATCTCTGACAGAATAAGTTAAATTTATTCTTGAAATTTTAGGAATATTATTATTGTAAAATGTACGATGAGTTCCTTGAATGGTAATTCGCAATGGATTTTCTAATGATAGCCAAGATAACCGACATTCAGAAATAACTCTGACACTACAATGGTGCATATCATTTCCATTTTTCAAATTATTTCGTAAATTATAATTTTCACAATTTTCATTACATTTTCCAACACTACCGCATAATCTTTGACAGTTGCCTCCATCACCTGAACAATACATAACCCAATACCAACATTGTTGGTTTTTGGCTAATCCTAATTCAATTTGAGAAACCAGATCTCTTCCTAAACTGGTTAAAACTAAAACATCATCAATACGATTTGTTGATTTTACCGTTCCAGTTTTAGTTTTCCATGCTAAGTAATCTATTGCCCCTTGTACACGTTCTACCGTTAAGATTCCAGCTTTAACAAGTTTAGGAGTAACTTGTCTACTTTGATTTTTTAAGCGATGATTTTTTAAAAGATTTGCATTTGATATATACCATTCTGCAGCACGACCAAATGGTACATTTACTGAGCCATCATCGTTGTATTTGATTTGATTTTCGTAAGTTTCCATATTATAATATATAGTAACGTTACACAAATTTATAGAAAGAAAATTATTACAAATAATTATCACGTAAAAAATATAAACAAGGTTATAAAACGCAAAATATATTATAAAAACTATTATATAATAAAGAAAAAAATATCAAAAGAGAAATCAAAATTTTTGGAAAAGAAAAAGAATTAAACCATTTGTCGTGTGAAGAAAAGTATTATGTGAACGCGTTAAATGTTATACAATGATACATTAACTTGTTTAGTATAAATTAAATAAATAAAACGTGATACTATCGAATAATCAAAAATGATACATTTTTTTTCAATAATCAAAAACGATAGAATTTTTTTTTCAATAATCAAAAACGACAGAATTTTTTTTCAATAATCAAAAATGATACATTTATTTTTTCAATAATCAAAAACGATACAACAGTTTGTACAACTAACTTCTATAATCAAAAAGCATCACCTCCTTAATCAAAAACGATATATTTGCGGTACAAAATGTACCGTTATCCGCCCGCTTGACCTTTGAGTCGATATATAATTGGTTCATTCAAATGATGGAAATATTCCGATCTGTCATTAATCCATGTATTGGTCGATCAATAAATATTCTTTTTTCCATTTTTACATTTGGAAATTTTTGATGTAAAAGTTTTTAGAATTTTTATTATTTTTGTAAAATTTTGTAACAAATATGAAACAATACAAATTATTTTTGTACAAATTTACAACAAATGCGAAATAAATTAGTGAATCAAAATAATGTAAATTAAATATCGGCTTACTTTTTTTCTTTGTTTGCCCTTCTTTCATATTATTGTATCATTTCCAACGTAATAAACTTAATAAACTCCGAACTTTGTAACGGTTACCGTTTCCCTAGTTTATTATAAAGAATAATAATTTATTATATAAAAGAACAGCTTTATTTTCTTTACTCTCGCGTTCATTATTTTTTTTTCATTTATTACACTAAAATGAGCCAATATTTTGATTAGCTATTCCAAATTTATTCCGAAGGAGATGTGTGTGGTTATTCGTTATATTAAAACCAAAATAAACATTTAATTCGGTAATGCAAGAAAATTAATTATCGATTCAGGATGTCATCATTTAATGGATTAATGAATATTATATTTATTTTATTTAAAATAACAAAATAAGTAAATAAAACTGTATTAATATGGAATATTAAAGTTTTTTAAAAAATATTAGTTGTCAAATTAAATTGTTAATTGCCGGTTTTCTAATTGGTTTTTTACAAACCGAAACTTTTAGCACCACTTAGAAAATAGCCTAATCATTTAAACAATCACTTGCGTTTGAACTCTTTATCATTTCAATTCATTTTCCGAACACTGCATCCATTTACTAAATATACTATTCGTTAAATTTATTATATTCCTTTTTTGTTTAAATGTTATTTTTTAAAATTAACCTATTTATATATCTTTAAATTTTTTCTCTATTGCCAAATAACACATTACTCCATAGCTTTTCTATTATAGTATGCATTATTAAATAGTTATAAAGTTTGTATCTGGATTTATTCGAATATTTTTTATTCGGTATTCGGCGGTTAATATTTTGATTCTTATTTATTCTAAAAGATAATCCTGGTTTGTGTCCAAACAATGAAATTAGTATTAGTAGCATTAATTCCTATTGGTCCCCTGTAAAAAAAAATTAATCCGTTTTTTATATTCCATCTTTTTTCCGTAAAAGACTTATATTTCCGGAATTAGTAACTTTATATCACGGAGAATTATTTGATTTTAGAAATAACGGATAAAAGTTTTTATAGGGTTCTGTGACCGAAAAATAACTGGTATTCAGAATTTGGAATCGAATATCAATATATCCGATTATACATGTACGCAGCATGAGAATTAACTTTGGCGAAGTTAATATAAATAATAATCGTTTCTTTTTTCTTTTTTAATTATGTATGCTCATTCATAACTTTATCTAAGACCTAATCAGCAGAGTGAAACAAAATATTTCACGGAAAAGAATTTTTCTCAGTTAAAAATATCAATAATATTCTTGCTGATTGCTTTAACGAAATTTTCGAGTATTTAAAGAAAGATAGTTTCTATTTACATAGTTAATCGATTTTGGTGTGAAACTTTTGTTAGAATTCTATCTCTGTAAAAATTTTTAGAAAATTGATAAGCATGTCCGAATTTTTTGGAATAAAGTCTAAAAATATGATTAATTATCGGAGAAAATTTTTTATAGAGTATGGGAGGAAATTATTGCTTTGAAAAGGGATTATTCGGAGGGAGAAAAAATATTCGTATCACTCTTTGTATATTATTTTGCAGTAAATAAAATAAAGTTACAAAATTATAAACTTAATTATCTTGTCCAATAATTACTGTGAACAGACGTATTTTATAAGGAATTTGCTAGAATTTAGCTTAAAAAGTAAAGAGCTTAATTATATTTCAAATACAAATAATACAAAAAATATTTTGTTATATGAAAGACCTTATTACAACCTTATTACAATTTATTATAATACATAAAAAAAAATAAATAGTTTCAGAATATTTCCGCCAACCTGTATCAAATTATCTAATCTGTAATAGCATAGGTTTTTTTTGTGACCAACAAAATGAACGAATTACGATCCGACGATCCGTTGATCCGTCTAATAAAACGTCGATAGTATCCAAAAATGAAATAGGTGATTTTCACTATTATAAATCACGTGAGTTTGTAAAGTCCCTATTTATAATTAAATTTTGTACAGTAGTATCCTACATTTATAATCCTTCAATCTTATAACTCCATCAATGTATCAAAGAAACATGAGTAATTTTACTGCTTTGCAACCGACAACAACGATTCAGCAAAGCAACTTATCGATTTCTCAAGTTATACAAATGAATGAATGTAAATTCTTTCATCTGGACGATGGTAATTTTTATCATGTAACTTGTCAAATTATTTTACGTGGTTCTATCTTGGATGACCATGATTACGATCATGGATTTTTTTATCATGGCTCTACAATAAATTATTATGTTAAATGTAAATTATTTTCACATCCTTTGATCATAAAAATATTGAATAAAGAAATATACGGGATAGATATTGACATGAATAACTTTGAACGAAAAAAAGAATTGTCTTTGGATCAAAAATTAATTCTAGAACAAGACTTGAAACAGATTCTTCCATTTTACCTCACGCAAAATCACATTCCCAAAAGTGAAATGAGAATTGATCCTAATATAAATATGAATCCAATTCAAAGACGGAATACAGAACAAATGATTTCGAATCAAAACAATTTTGATAACGGAAATCATGGATTTTATCAAAATGATGTCGTAGATTATACTTATAATGTCACTCAACCACAGCAGCAACAAATTGATTCCAACAATGTCTCAAGTTTTAATAGAAATTCAAGTTCGTTTCACAGAAGTATTGGAAATAACGTAATGACGACCGACAACCAAAATAATGTTAACGAAGGTTACATTCATAATGATATTCATCCACAGCAACAAGTTGACTTCAATAATATATCACCACCTATGAGACCGGTATACAATAATTACAGAAATACAAATTCGTCCAATGAAAATATCGAGAATAATAATCAAGGATCCCACCAAAATAGAGTTGAAGATACTCAACAAGCTGATCCCAACAATTTTCCACAACGTCAAATCCCTGAAAGAGAGACGATGCCAGATTATAATAGAAATACAAATTCACTTCAGAATGATGTATTAGCATATGATGTTTCAATTACTGATAATAATTTTGATCATCGAGATACCCGCAGCGCTTATCCACAGCAACAAGTTGATCTCTACACTCCTGCTGAAAGAATGACAACACAAGCTATTTCGGTCACAAATGATAATCAAATTTATGATGACAATAGCGTGTCATACAATGATAACCATGACGTAACAAATTGATTTCCGAAATTTATAATCCAGAAATTAGTTTCCCAATTCGTTTTATATTGAAATTAGTAAATTCTTCGCAAACATGTTAAAAATTTCGTTTTATATCATACGTTAAAATTGGCAAATTCTTCACACAAATATTTTAAAAATTCGTGTTAAAATTGGCAAATTCGAAAAATTTAAAAATCGGTTTATAATAATTTAATAGTGAACGTGAATTATATAGTAAATAATTAATTATGATAATTCCTAAAAGGATTAAGCAAAAAGATACTAGAAAACGTTGTATGAAAATTTTCAAATTAAGTATAATATTTATGTTATATTAATATCAAATTTAAGTTTTAGCATCGCTACTTTTTTATTATTAGTAAATATAATAAGTTTTATAAGTTTTGATGTTGCCGCCGGGCAATAAATTTTTTTAAAATTGATTTAATAGCGTGATATACATAATAACTTTGAAATTTTATTAATGTAGTATATTACTATGTGAAACGAGTATATGATTTAACAATTTTCAGATTTCATTGTATAAAGACCTATGGCTTAGCAGCCGATGATCTTTATTTAGATAACGGATATTGGCTATATATAAAATTGAAATAAATTTCATGGATAAACTACTAATTATTTGAAGAATATTTTATTTTAAAATTTTTTGTTTCAACCATTTATTCGTAATCGTAAATTAAAATTTTATTTAATATTCAAGCGGATAACGAATCTAAACTCTGAACCCTTTTTACCATCGATTATAAAGTAAATGCTAATGTCGTTAAGTATTTTATCAATGATAAATCTCTAAAATTAAATAGAGTTCCTTTTTGCAAAAAAAATTATTTACTAAATAATTATGGTATAAGAAATGTTATCCATTTAGGATTATTGAAGGATGGACCTAATTTTATCAAACATACAATTCATAACGCGAGAAACCTGAATTTGCTTATTTTTTTTAAAATTTGAATTTTGCATATTTGTAAATTATGATTGTTTTTAATCAGATGAAATTTTTGTCAGAAGCTAAAGATAATTATCATTTAGAGAATTTAGAGACAAATTATTGTAATTTATTTTTCTTAGTATATATGTCAAATAAACTCATCAGATTCATCCGATATCAACACATTATGTTACGAACTAAGAAAGTTATTTGTTATATATAATCTATATTACATATCTTATTTTAAAAATAATAGAATATAATGGCATAAACATCCAGATTTAATAAAATTTTGGGATTACGATCTGTAATAGCATACATTTTATTTATTTTTTCTAGGAAAAATACATCAGTGATCGTAAATAACACGTTAAATCTTTATTTTCCCAATGCACTGTTATACATCCCACACCGCATCACATACACGAATACATACAGCATGCATATACTAAAAGTAAATCATGAGCTCAATGTGAGCGAAAATATTTATTATTATTTAGACTTTATTTAGTAATTTCAATGCCAAACTATTATTACAAATGTAAAAATGCAAGAATAAATGTATCACTTTAATTACTCATTTCTGCTTAAGCAAATCGGCTCTTCTTTTCTTGGGTGTGGGATGACAATCAGGGACTTCCGTTCTTTCAGTTTTCTGTAGATTTTTCCATCTCTTCAAATTTTCCCATTGTCTGTAAAATTACACACTAAAGAAAAATAATAATCAATTTCTCTTAAAATTTAAGATAAAACAAATAGATGAGACTTTACCTTGGCGTAAATGATAGAAACAAGAGCATTCAATGTATTGTTACATTGCTTTGCGTCAGCATATATCTCAAATGGACCTTCTTTCATATATCGACATACATAACCCTTTGGACAATCAAGATTTGTTAAAATAGCTCCTACATAAATAAATACTGTAACGTTAGCAATTTAAATAAGTTTCAATTCCAAACATATCAATGCAATACAAGCCCACATGAATGAACCTGGGTATTAATCATGCGTACTTTGTCTTCTTCAAAGTTTATTTTTCGAGAAAGATTAATGAAAATATCTTTCATTATCTTTGGTAAGGTCAAACAACATTCGTTTATGAGCTCGGTGCCCTGCTCCCCTTTCCATTTGGGTCTGGCCTCGGATGCTGCCCAATCTCGAACGTAACCGTCTCCTCTCCTCCCAATAGCCTTACGTTTCATTGGACCTACATTACTTAAAGTTCTGCTGCGATTTTTCCTCTCCCTAGTTGCTATTCCAGCCTTTTGCCTCTAATAAGAAGAAGCTAAGTTAAACATAGATTTAGTGAATGATAATTATATAACAATGATTCTTCTGCTTACCCAACAAATAACGCAAAAGGTATGTCTGAAAAGGCTATGTCAAGCGTCCTCCAGGCATTGATTCGGAACCAGCTTCCGGTAAATCTTGTGTGATTGTTAATGGATTTGGTTCCAATTCCAGCAAACGGACCCTACAAAGTATTTATCTATTGATAAGCTAAAAAAAGTTATGAATTATAAGAGGTTTTCACTTACTAATCAGATACTGTTGTCCTCACTTGTTCATATGTGAAATCAACAAGAGGATTATAATTTTCACATACTATTCAAGGGTGAGGAGAATAGAGCGCCTTGCGAATGCCTTTTCTCGAGTCCTATAAAAGAATCAATTCATTATAAAATGCTAAATGAATGGAACGATAACATCTAAATTTAACTTTTGCAAGGGTGTCAATACAATGAAGTAGGTCATCAATTAGTTAGTAGAAAATTCTTAATTTAGCACCACAGCGTATTACACTCGTACGATCTAGGGAAAAAATGCAATTATCACGAGTAAAAGACGTCTCCAACATACGTCCCCGTACTGAGCTTCCATTTTTTATTATCCTTCATGGCCTGATATCTATGTTTAGATGACAGTTAGATGGTCTCTACAAAAATCGAGGTTTGTGCAAGAACAAAATAATACTTACCGGTTAGTAAATAATTCCATATCCTTATCTCCGAAAGTGAACGCATCATTATCACTTGAAGAAGCGGTCAGTACTACGGCAGCTTCTTCATTTTAATATCCTCATCGACTTCTATAAACAAGGAAGACTCATCATTGTATGCGGTTGGTCTAATCTATATGCACAGCGAGACGGAATTTTTTATCGCGGACTGAACATTAAAAATATGATAGAAAAATAAACTACCTTGTCTTTTTTTTTTTTATTGATAAACGTATTTTTTTATTAGTAAATGTGAAAGAACATTATACATATAAATACAAAAAATCCATTGAAATTTAGTTGAAACTACCTTGTCTTCTTGAGTATGTGGTCTAAGTTCATTCTAAAACGTAATACCTCGGTTATTATTTTTTGGTAATGTGCGGGTTATTTGATTTATTATATACTGTACATTTCCCAGTTTGCGATAATCTTTGGTATTATTTCCAATTTCAAAATCTCATGAAGTACGAAAATCAACTGAGCCGACAAAAGAAAATAATGAATAGCAGTAAATTTATTAATAAACATACCAGATAGTAGCCGCTTTAGATTGTTCTTCTTACCGAGAATTAAAACATCGCTCGCTTCGTCCTGTACTATATTAACTTGGTCGATAATTGTTTCAGTGCTTTTCATAGTCGTTTCCTCAAAGAGAATTCGAAGATTTCTCTCCCGCCAAAATTCTCTAACCTCGAAAGAATTTTTTTCATCCTAAAAGTAAGATAATTAGTCACACTTGATTATGCCCAGTTACGGCTCCATTCTTCAGACTGATCAAAAAACATCATGGCTGAATTATTTCGCACCCGATACTCTGAAATTGGCATCTTTTTCAGAAAGTGCGTTGCGCCACGGTAGTCTCAGTTTTATATACACATCACGATCACATGATATTAATTGCGGCATCACAGATATGACATATAGGCACGAGAAATGAAAGATAAATCGTTACACACTCGATTTTCTTTGCTTTAATTATCCGATTATCGCGCTTTTTCAAAATTGTGCTACCCCCCTACAGATCACTGCTGTGTAATGTGATTATCATTTCATGATTATCGTTTTTGTGATTACCTAAAAGGTGATTACTACGGTTTTACTACGCGTTTTTATCACTTTCTCCTTGTCTTTTTTATTGCGATTTTTTTAAATTTTTGCAAATTTATAAAAAAGTGATTTATCTCCTGGTCGCCAACGTTTACATAATTCTGTGATCATACTTATGCCACATATACACTAAGTCACTAACTGGACTACTAGGTATATTCGCAATTTCTCATATGATCAGCCGTTAATACCGCCGTTATGCTGTACAGTACTCGATATAATGGAACCATCCGTTATATCAAGAATTCTGTTATATCGAGGGTAAATTAATTATACGTTATGATAATCCGTTTCAGACCCAATTCTGATATATCAAGATTTTATTTATGATCCGTTATATCGAGATTCCGGTATATCGAATTTCACAGTGTATTCTATACTATTAGCTGATTTTTGGTATACTGTATCCTTAAATTGAATTTTTTAAAATATTAATTGTATATATATATATATTATTCTTTTTTTTTTTATAGGTAACTTTTGCTTTTTTAAACCTTTGATAAATTGAATTTATGGTTTTAATTAATTCATATGCTATACCTTTTTTCTTTTAAATTATAAAATTCACCTCATGTGAGATTCTATATTCCTCACCCCATATAAAAAATGTAATTAGACAATTTTTTGAGACTCTGGGTAAAAATGCTATCTATATTAACTAAAGTCGTTTTGTACTTTATTTATCCGTATATCATTGCCAATTCTACCCAAAAGGAGAGATTTTCATAAATACAGCACTATAGTACTATACGTACAGCATGTATACGCATGTATCAAGTATCAACAAATGAATTAAAAAAATGTTGATCATTCAAAATTAATATTTTTATTAAACTTGCATCTTCATTTATATTTGTGTAAATAAAGAAGGAAATATTTAGTATATTACGGTATATTACAAGTTTATAATATTCAAATTTGGTACAAACGGTCAGACTTTCAATTATGGTGTAAGACCTAAGCCCGTGATAAATCACGTTGCCAGTTGCCACCTTAGGCTTAACAAAATAATACTTTTATTAATAATATAAATAAATACAATATTATGCTTGGTTTAATAATACTAAATAACGATTAAATATTTATCCTAAAATTCAGAAATAATTCTCAAAATTCGTAACCTGATTTTGACAAGATCGAATTGGTCTGCCTTTTAACTAAAAAGTAAATTACTACGCATCCTTTTTACTAATTAGAATATTTGATTTTCAATATTGTTGATCCTCAATCATTTTCCTTAAAAGTAAATTAACACAGATATAAATTTCGTAAATTAATCAGCTGTTATCCTAGGGGTACAGTGAGGGTGTACGATATTAAAGTACAAACTGGCATTAACGCTGTCACGTGCAAGTGCATAACTTCTAAACTCGGGCCAGTTTGTACGTTAATATTGTACACCCTCACCGTACGTTAATCCTAATCACTTGACTTAATGATCTACTAGTTGAACGTCGTTACGTCATGCAATTATACACTAATCCTAAATATAATACTGCGCCTCATAATTAATAAATTTACTCGGCATTACAATGGTTACATGATCGGCATCGATTCTGAAAACTAATTTTACGCCATGTCATACATGAGATACAACATAATAGGTCATCATTTCTTTTTTCATTCTAAAAAAAGAAAAAAATTCTCTTCTTTATGATAATATCATGTCAAGACGTAGTATTCCTGAGACCATTATTTCAAATTTTAGCTCTTCTGAATTATCTTATAAGGGTAGTGATAAAATAATTTTTATTACTAATGGGGATCCTATTAAACATATTTGGAAGAGATTATTAAAAAAGGATGGTCCTTGGAATCAAAATGATGTTAGATTTTTTGTTAGTTCCGCTTTAGTAGCAACGGATCCTAAAACCGGTTATAAAGTAGAAGAAATTGTATCTGAATTAGGTAATCCAGAAAGTGGCCTTAGAAGATTGAGAGAAATTATGAATTTTCCAATGTCATGTGATGCGGGTCTTAGGGATGATGTATTATCATTCCAATATGTTATATTACCTTTATTGGGTTTATTGACTAGAACTGCGATTACTGATTGTAATTTGGAAAAATACGTTCATGCCATCTTTACGGCCGTTTATACAAACCTTGTAAGTTTATTTTTTTTTAACTTATTAAATGTTATGTGTATTATGTATTCTAATGATTAAATACTTTACTTTTAAAATGAAGGAACAATTTCTTTATAATAATGTGATGAAAATGTTGGAGATGTTGTTGGGGCGTAATTCAGTTGTAGATCGTGTAGTTAACGCTGAAGCATTGCTAGCACGCGAACGTTACGCATTTATTCCATCCTCGTAAGTAGTAATGTATAGCGCATAACTATATTATTTATCTAGTGTACTAATTCTATATTTTTTATTGAAAAAGTTTAGGAATATTTTTCTTAATAATCGTAAGACTTCTTACAGAATTATTACGTCGTATCAAAGAAGCATCCGTTAATGAAACTATGTATAAAATTTTCCACGATTTACAACGATTAAAAACTACTTATCAACAGTCAATCAATCAACAACGACTATTTTTCATTTCAACAGATCCATTAATTGATGATTTAGGAACTAGAGAATATTTTTTCACTATATTAGAAAAAGAGATGATAACCATGAATAAAATGTTAATTAATGGTCGTACTAATTTAATCTTTGAACAAAATCCTGATTCAAAAGATTCTATAACTCCATGGTATTATAAAAAATTAGCTAGAACAGTTGATGTAAAAAGAATTTATGATCCACCAGGAGAATTATCAAAAGAAGGTAAAGGCATGATAATGATTTTGTGGAAATTGGTGAAATATCAATTATTCCTAGTACTAGAGAAGAATGGATAACAATTAAATGAATGTTTATGATTTATTTTAAAGCTAAAAGGGTCTCGTATTCTTCTTTCCCATGTAACTCACATCTAATCGTTAATGAAGAACCACCCTGTTTACCATTACAAAATGAACAAGGTACAAATGAAAGATATAACGATAATGATTTAATACAACCCGTTCCTTTCTTGGAACAAGAAGGAAAATATAAGAAAATTATTTGGGTGAAATTTAATGAGGAACCTGTAAAAATAGCGTTTAGTGGTGAAGATGTTTCTGATTTGGTAGAAGAGGCAAAAATAAAATTAAATGGACTAGATAATTTCAAGATGGATTTAATTGGAGTATATAAACATAATTCGATAGAACCATTAAAATTTGGACAAATAGTTGATGATAGTTTTATTAACCGATATGAAACACCAATAGAGATTAAGGTAAAAAAGGAAGGTAAAGTATATTTCTCATGATTTCTTTTTCTGTATCTGTCTACTTTGTTGCTTTGTTGAATAAGATAATGAATTATAGATTTGTCCTTAATTATTCTTTTCAGAATAATTAATTTCCTAACATTCTGTTAATATTGTTTCTAGTCATTGTTCCCAATGATTTTATTAAACTACTTGAAACAGGAGAGCGTTATGATATGATTGTAAGAGTTGGAGATGAAGTAACTGGCCGTGAGTATAAACTACATTCTCAAATAATTGGAACACGATCAGAGTATTTTCGTTCTGCTTTGTCAAATAACCAATACATGAAAAGAGAGGATGAAAAATTTTATTTTGTAAAACCTAACATTACAACTGAAGTTTTTCAAATTATTTTAAGGTATTCATCGTCAAACGTTTTAAAATCAAACAAATTTAATAAATTCTTAATGTTTTATCATTTATTATAATAGATACATTTATGGTGGTACTATTTCATTAAATGAGCAAGATGCCTCAAATATTTTAAAGCTAGTGGTTGCCGTCGATGAACTTCTTCTTCAAAAAGAAATATCTGATTATTTACAAAGATATTTAATTGAAAATGAGGCAGAATGGATGCAACAACATTTTGAACATATATACCAGATATGCTTTCAATCCAATAATTTGTTAGATTTCCAAAAATTTTGTATAGATTTGATGGCAAAATCGCCTGAAAAAATATTTAGATCGTTTGATTTTACTTCACTTTCTGAAAAATCTTTAATTTCACTGATTGAGAGAGATGATTTACAAATGAAAGAAATTGAAGTTTGGGAATATGTATTAAAATGGGGACTTGGAAAGAATCCAACACTTATTTCAGAACCTACTATTTGGTCAGAAGATGATTTCCGAATAATGAAAGATACTTTGCAACATTGTTTACCTTTAATTAGATTCTTTAGTCTTTCATCTAAAGATTTCTTGCAAAAAGTTCGACCTTACAAAAAGCTTTTAAGATGCCAACTTTATGAAGATTTATTAAAATCTTATCTGGATCCTGATAATGAACCAAATGATAATATTTTGTTTCCCAGACATAGGAATATTGATGGAATTATTGATTCAAAAATTGTTAATTTAAATATTATTTCTATAATTTCATTATGGTTTGATAAAATCGATGTTAATATTAAATTTGCGTATACCAAAGAATTATATTTACCATATAAATTTGAATTATTATTGAGAGGAAGTAGAGATGGATTCACTCCAAAAAAGTTTCACGCATTATGCGATAATAAAACTTGTACTATTACATTCATTAAATTAAAAGGAACAGAAGAAATTATTGGTGGATATAATCCTTTAGTATGGAAATCTCCAGGGTTTATTAATAAGACTAAAGATAGTTTTATATTTTCTTTTAAAAGTAAGAATAATTTTAAGGATCCAATCTTTAGTCGTGTAAAAAATATGGATGAAGCATTAGTTAATCAAAATTATTGTGGTCCTTCGTTTGGTGAGGATCTTTATATAAGTGTGTCTGACGATAATACAAAAGAGTATAATTATAATGAATGTAAACAATGTAGTTATGAAAAAAAGATAAGAGATACTGAAGATTATTTCTCGATAGAAGATTATGAAGTATTTCAAATCATAATGTAATGCTGACACATTCTGCATCCGCGTCAATGGTGTTTATTAGCATAAAAAGGAATATAATTTATTTAAACAAGTAGTAAAGACGAAAATCAACATACAACAATAAATATGTTAATTGTATGATTCTAGATTTTTTATTCGTGAATTTTTATAAAAATATTTTTCTCTTTTTTCTTTCAAAGTATTCAATATTATATATATCTATAATGACACGTATTTCAAATTACTTAAATTACTTCATAATTATATTTTTTTTTCTTTTTTGTTATATTATTATTTAATGAAAGTAAAGTAAAGGAGGCGTACTGCGTACGAGAGTATTATTGCCACGGTTTTCTAATTGCACTATGTTAAAATTCACTATTGAAAGAGCAGATCACTTTAAATTAATAATAATGAGATTTTGATATCAATAATTATTTCTAATCGCAGTCATCTGTAAAATTGTAGTATTATTAACGATGGCGCAATGAAAGTATACAAAAGTAATCTTGCCACGTAGAATTTTATGAGACGAACAAATTGAATCAACAACTTGAACTATGTTATGACGTCGGCTAGTATTATATTGATATTGGAATGGAATTGATTACATTAAGTATTTATTTACATCATATTAGGGTGTCACAGCTGTCACGCCAAGATACCATATCGTCATTACACAACAATCAGATTTAAAAAACTCAGAAATATTTACAAAATATGAGGTTCTCAGACCAAATTCTTAAAATTTTTATATTAAAATGTGAAATATCTGAACGTAACTTTGTTCTTAAATAATCTATAGACTGCGAAGCCCATTTTTAACAAACGAACGTAATTACCTTGCAATATTTCTTAAGAATAGTTTCCAACAAAAAAAAAAGAAGATAAATAAATATGATGTTCATGGGAATCTTTTAGAGTCTTGGAGTTTTTAGTAAAATGATTAATAAAAGATAGATTCAATTTTAAGCTTTGTGTAACAATATTTTGATCATATAAATTTAATTAAATTTTATAGTGTATCCAAAAAAAAGACATCTTTTTTAACGGTGGTAGATAGAAGATTTACTTTGGAATAAAAAGTTATATATTCGATTTAGAATATTTGTTAAAATTCATATTTATAAAATGCTACAAAACTAAGGATAATCTTGTGCATCTGCGTCACGTTTAGCGTCAATGATGAATTAAATTATTGTTGTTTTAATTACTAATATCAATTTCAATAAAAAGGACAAATTTTTTTTTAATGTAAAGAATTAATTATTTACTCGCTAAAACAATATTAAAGCCAAAAATTAACAATAAAAATTTTAATTGCATGATTCCAAATTTTTTTGTTCTGAATTCTATCTTATTAAAAAAATTCCTGTGAAACCGTTATTCGATATTTATACAGGTTAATCTAAATTTCTGAGTTGTGCAACGCATCATTCCCCTGCGCCAGATTTGCGCCTGATCTATACTTAAGTGTTTAATGCTTTTGATCGGCAAATTTGTGATTGCTAATACCAATTTTTAGTTTCTCGAGTAACTGGCATTTTACTAATACAAATAACTATTAGAATAGATAGATTATTAGCTTTTTTTAATAATGATGATAAATTTCTATAATCGATAATGAAATTTTTTCATATTATTTTTTTTCTCCCCATAATAATAGATCAATTTAATAGAGTTTAGTATATAAAAGAGAATTATTTGGCGTTTTCCCTAATGAAATTTTTTCATATTAATTTTTCATATTAATTTTTTTCTCCCCATAATAATAGATCAATTCAATAGACTTTAGTATATAAAAGAGAATTATTTGGCGTTTTCCCTAATAAAATTTTTTTATATTGATTTTTTTCTCCTGATAATAATAATTCAGTGAGCGTTTTTTCTCCTAATATCAATAAAACTATTTATAATAAATTTGAAAATATTCTACAGTACTGTAACATCTACTTTATACAATAAATAAAATTTATATTAATTTCTTATCATTATAATACATTATTAATATATTTCTTCAGACCAAAAACATTGTATATAATGAAATCTTTCAAAATATTTAAACATGCTATAATAATACTACATTTTTCAAATATACAAAAAAAAGTTTATCTCACACATAAAAAAATTTTTTTGCCATAATATACAAAAAAAAAATATTCTAGCAAATGAAAAGAGATGTTTTCTAAGCTCTAAGAACTCCATCTTAGCCTTTTTTTTTTATCACCTTTTTTAAATTTATTAAATTTATTTTTTATTTTATTATCATTTATTTACTCTCCTTTAGATTTCTAATTATGAACAATAATAAAACTTGAAGTTTTTAAACATATATCATAATTTTCTTTTCATTATTCATTACTACATTAATATAAAACAGCTTACTAATCCCGGTGCGAAGCAATGGGCTACCCCTAGTTTGTTATAAAAATATTTTCAAAATGTTTATATAAGAAAATTTTTCTATATGACAATATTTCAAATTAAGTTGCTTCATAATTATATTATTTTTATTTTATCATATTATTTAATGAAGGCAAAGTAAAGGAGGCGTACAAGAACATTTTTGCCACGTTTTTTTACGTAGCGCCATGCTAAAATTTACAATTGAAGAGCCGAGCCACTTTAAATTAATAATGCGCAGTCATTGTTGTAGTATTATTAATGAAGGCGAAGTAAAGGCGTACAAGAGTATTCTTGCCACGTTTTCTTGCTGCTTTATATCATATTCTATATACAGTATATAAAATAATATAATTTTAAATATGTTTTATTCAATTACTTAACTGATTGTATTAATTTAAATTTTAAAGTGAATCAAAAAAAGACGATTTATTATGATCTTAAATTTACAATTTGAGTTTGGGCAGACCTTATATTACTAGTTTCGCCAAAAACAAGATTAGGAAGTAATTTACCTTCCAACTTATGAACGTCACATGGTTAGTTGCATCTGTTCTTGTGTTTCGTTCTTGACGTTTTTGGAAATCTTCTTATCTTCTTTCTATCACTTTTCTTGTTACTAAACTTATTTATTTTCTTATCCCATCAAACAATTCAAGGATCGTTTATAATTTTTTTCGGTGCGAAAGGTGTGTTGATTGTTGATTGCTCTATCAAATTACAATAAAACTTACTATACTTCGCGTTTTATTCAGTAATGATAAATTTACATATATTACTTTTATTATTTTATAATGATCAAATATACTAAATATACTTAAAATAAATCTCAAACGTCCACAGGTTACACAAAAAAAAAAAATTTTAAAATAATTTTTTGATTTTTGATTTTCATCCAAGTTTTGTGCAGTTCATGCACAAGATATTTTCGATATCATACATATATCACTTACATATTATATAACAACTGGCTAAATAATTTGCCGAAAGATAGGGATTGGCTATAGTAATTGTGTAACATCTAAAAACCAGCGCGAAAGACAAATACGATAAAAACAATGAAAACAAATATATTTATTTTATTTTAATAGTATTTGAAAATTTAATCACTATATTTTAAAGTGATTTACTTATTATTTATTAGTTTAATAAATAAAATGAGTGATAATGCGCGTTATATTCTAAAATACTTTATATAAAAAAAAAAAAATGTACACAGTTAGAATCATTATACAGAATCCAAAAACATTTTTAAAGCTTATAAAATTTTATACCCAAAATATGCGAAATAACAACTATTAGTTAACATGTAAAAAATTTTTATAAAAAAATGTAAATAAATAAAAATATAGTAAAAATTATGTAAGTTTTCTATCTTTTTGAAGTTCTTAATGCTTTTTTTTTTCAGAATATTCGCTATTAGTTTGAACTGGAGTTTTTGGGTGCGTTTTTTTAGTTGGGACTTGGGAGAACCTTGGGCTAAAATACTCCCCAGTAAAAAACCAGCCACTACTAGCTTTTGGCAGTTAAATTTGGGTTCTTGCTTAATTAAGTCTTTTTTCTGAGCGATCAGATTTTTTTTTGGTTGCGGTAGCAATATCAGAGATTAAAGAGAATATAGTAGAAACAAAAAGAACTAGGGCTATCAGATGGAAAGACGAAAAGCAGAAATAATAAACATTATATATTTTTAATACATAATTATCGTCGCGTTGCGTAACACTAAAGATCGTTATTTTATTGAATATATTTATTATAATTTTATTAATAATGGAAATGATTTTTTAAAAAAAGCAAAGTTTCTCAACTTAGCACATACAGTACGAGAGGTCGTATTGAAATAACTAAAAAAATTTAATAATATGGTCGTATCAATTTGTGGCACAGATATTTTTATTGGTGTATAGACAATTATCTGCCATACGCGTAAAATAAGAAATACTACCAAGTGCCAAGGAAGAAAAGAAATATTAAATCTGGAATAATTCATACTACTTTAAATTTACATTATTTTTACAGATTTGTAGGCTACTGTTGTTATGTATTATTTCATATCATTATTGTGGATTCCATAATTCTGATAGTAATATATGAAATACCTAATTAAACTAAAGACGTTAAACGAAATTGCTTTTATTTAACAATATAAATGCTTGATATATATGCACTACATGATAATAATAAAAAATAATAAGAAAAATATGTAAAATTTAGCCATCATATTATCTTTGAGGGTTCCATTTATTTCAAGTCTTTAATCATTTGATAAAAAATATTAACAGAACTAGATAAGTAATGTAAGAATCGTTATTGATATATATATATTCTTATTCTTTTTCTGTTTATGAAATGAGTAAAATTAATTCCATAATTTCATAAATTAAAAGTGATTGTAAAATTAAATTACACAAAAGTCGGAATTTTATTTGAACAAAAAAAAAAATAAACTATGACATATATTTTTATAATTTTCCTATTTGAAATATTTAATGATTTTTAGTTTATACATAGTAAATTTTTACAATAATTTGTAATATGCAGTACAGTATTATTCTATAAATAATATTTAATAAAATAATAATCCATAAAATGTAAATAAATAAAAACTTATTTTTTTTTGTTTGGATATACAAGCAATGTAAGAAATAACCTTTTTAAGCGCTTTCTCTTAATGACCAAAAATAGGAAAATAAAAAAAAAAAGATTTTATTCTTTGAACTTTGTATGATTGGTTCAAAAAAAGATATCTACATAACAACAAGGTCAATCTTAATTAAGGATATGCATAAGAAAAAGGAGCAATACAATAATTCCAGATTAATTATTTAAAGGGATATTTCTATTTCTCAAAAACAATTTAAATCAGAAAAAGGAGTTTTTTGTTTATGTCAAAAAAAAAGTATGTTGTATTCCCTATTTCCTAATGAAATTAATTAAAAAATATGTATGCCGATCATAAAACCAAGAATCCGATCATCATGTGATGATTCGAAAAATCTGAAATCGGGAAATCGAATGATCAGCGTTAAATAACATTGTACCTCGTGACGTTAACCAATATAAATATACGACCAATAATAATAAATAATTACGGGACAAGTTTTTGGAGTTCTTGTGTAACAAAATTATCGAGAATTTCTTGATTAATGTTTTACAGAAATTACTATTTATCACTAATTAAACCTAATTGCGTTATTTCAGAAAAAAAAGCAACATTGTAAATAAATAGAAAATAAATAATTGTATTATTATGAAACATTGAACTTTATAAAAATGTACATAATTAGATTAATTAGTAATCCAAATTGATGTGGCCGAACTGTTTCATCATCTAGGAACTGAGCTTGGTTAATTCAATCATCGTATTCATTTACTAAATATTCGTACATTAAATTTATTCCTTTTTTGTTTCTCCCTTCTTTCATTTCATTTAGTCATTGGGTTTTGATCTTAAATCCACGTATTCCGGATTAATCCGTCAATCCGGATAAATTTCGGATAATTACTAGACCCGGATTATAAACCGAATATGATGATAGGAATTAGGATTCTATCCGAATAACTTTAAAAAATAGGATCGAACCCCTATTTAGTCATTCCTTTTTTGTTCTAGTTCTATTCCTTCAGTTATAATACTTTATTTCCATTATTTTTAATAAAATTTCTTCCAAATTTGAGTTGATCGAATAAGCTCTATTATTGGTGCATCTTCAATTCTCGGAAAAAGGAGACGGTTACTATAACTGGAAAAAAATGGGAAAAATGTCAATCAACTGCGATACACCAAAAATCTTAGATGCGGAAAAGAGCGATACACAACATAATCAGGTGGACATTTTGTTCAGTCCAGTTAAAAACCTTTTTTTTTATATTGTTTGTATTTTATTGGTTTGCCCTAAAAGGTTTTGAGATAGTGATAAAATTTAATATATAAATTATATAAATGAGCCTACAGTATATCATTTCAAAATTATTTTATAAATAAAGATTGATTCTAGGACAAATAACTTAATATTTTAACGGTTATCTATTTTATTCAGGAATTCCATCAATGTATCAAAGAAATATGATGAATAATTTTACTGATAACGTATCGATTTCTCAAGCTATTCAAACGAATGAATGTAAATTTTTTCATTATATACCAGAAGATAATAATTTTTATCATATAACTTGTCAAATTATTTTACGAGGTTCTGTCTTAGATGATCATGATTATGATCATGGATTTTGCTATCATGGCTCTACAATTAATTACTACGTAAAATGTAAATTATTTTCACGTCCTTTGATTATAAAAATATTAAATAAAAAAATATACGGGATGGATATTGGCATGAATAACTTTGAACGAAAAAAATCATTGTCTTTGGATCAAATATTAAATCTAGAGCGAGACTTGAAACAAATCCTTCCCTTTTACCTTATGCAAAATCACATTCCCAAAAGTGAAATGAGGATGGATTCTAATATAAATATGAACCAGCTTCATGAACGAAGTACAGAACAAATGATTCCGATGAATGATAATCAAAACAATTTTGAAAATGGAAATGGATTTTATCAAAATGACGTCGTAGACTATACTTACAGTGTCACTCAACCACGACAACAAATTGATTTCAACAATATCTCGCCTAAAAGTGAAATGAGACCAAGCTTCAATAGAAATTCAAATTCATTGTATAGAAATATTGGAAATAACATAATGGCGACACCGATGAACGACAATCAAAATAATGCTAATGAAGTTGGAGGTTACATTCATAATGCTATTCATCCACAGCAACAAGTTGATTTCAATAATGTGTCACCAGCTGAGAGAGAAATGAGACCAGTATATAATAATAGAAATACAAACACATCTCATGAGAATATTAAGGATAATTTGATGACAACACAAGCGACTTCAATGATTGATAATCAAAAAAGTTGCTTGCCTTACCAAAATGAAGTTGAAGATACTCGAGCTGATCTCAATAATTTTCCACAACGTCAAATCCCTGAAAGAGAGACGATACCAGATTATAATAGAAATACAAATTCACTTCAGAATGATGTATTAGCATACGATGTTTCAACTACTGATAATCATCGAGATACTCGCAACGCTTATCCACAGCAATACACTTCTGATGAGAGTATAACGACACAAGATATTCCGATAACAGCCGTTGATCGAAATTATGATGATATAAATGATATGCCATGTAATGACCACGATATAAATATTAACTCATCCGTAACAACAGATTGATTTCCGATAAATACCGAAATTTTATTTAGAAATTGGTTTTCTCAACTCGTTTTATACTTTAAAATTGGCAAAATCTTCACGACGAACATTTTAAAAAAAATTCGATTTATACGTTAAATTGGCAAACTACTCATAAATATCTTAAAAATTCGCAAATTCCTCGAAATGAATGAATGTTACAATCGGTTTTTATAGCTTTATAAGCAAATAATTAATTATGACGATTCCTAAAAGGATTAAGCAAAAAGAAATTTCAAATTTATATTAAGAAATTAAATAAGAAATTAAATAAATGTATAATTAATATCAACACTTAAGTTTTTATAATCGTTATCATTAGAAAGTTCATTATGAAAATAGAACTTGTACTCATATTAGTTTATATCTATAGCAAAAAATAATAATACCACACATAATACTTTTATGCTTTGAAATTTCAAAATCATTCTTTTAATTTAAGTTTTCATTTAAAAATATTTAATAAAAGTAATTTTATAGTACAAGCATATGATTTACTATTCAAACTCTTATAAAGTAGTGTAATAACATTTGCTAGATTTATATCGTGATAAATATTAGGCCACACAAATTCGATTTTTCGGTACACTTCACCCGGCCGGGTCACTTTATCAAATTTCAATAAAAATTATCACGTGATCAATACGTAATTTTATTGGCGGTAAGTTTATCACGTGGCTGAGAACTTTTGGAGCGAAATAAATTCTTTAATTACCCCTCCCCTTTAAAAGTTAACCAATCAGATGTCATGATTTTATATATAAACTTTTTTATTAATAAACAATAAACCCCCCAATTTTAAATTTCAATGTTACGTGAACCGAAAAATTGAATTTGTGTGGCCTTATATAATAATTATATATTAGTTGTTAGGGACCGTTCATGCAATTTTTATAATAAACTACTTATATAAGTTTCAAATACATTAAGTGAACGATTAGTAACTTATTATCATCTTAAATCGCCATCAATAATGCTAAATTTGGAATGTCACTTAAAAAGAATATCATTGAAATGACTGGATTTAATTGATCTGATAGAGATAAATAAGAAGCTTGCACGAACGAAAGTTAAGGACTTTTATTTCATGATTACGCCCCTGTAAAAAGTCGATCCGTTTTTATATTCCATCTTTTTCCCGTAAAAGGCTCATATTACCAGCATAGCGGACATCCCTATTTTATCACAATTTTGATGATCATTTGTCGATCATTTATTCAATTTTATCTCTTCGCTATAATTAAATTGATTGGCTTTGGTTGAAAATAATATATACTCAAATTCTACAGACAGCTTAATATTCATTTAGATTTACTGCATATTAAATTTTATCAAGATTGCATCATTATTGGGCAACTTTTACTAGTACTAACTTTTTAAATTCTAATAAAATGAGTATTTCTTCACAAAATTTTAAAGACTATTTATAAAAAAATGAACAATATAATTTTTAATGATCAAATTTGTTGTTTAAATAAATAAAACAAAAAATAATTCTTTAAACAGTTCATAAAATTTTGCCAAAATTTTTTCCTAATATTCCTAATATATATTTTAATAATATTCATAAACATTCTTTTAATGATAACTTTTGGTTTATCTAAAATTCTGCTGGTTTATTTTAACCATTGATTCTTGAATACCTAAATAATATATTTTAAAAATTTCAAGTTTCGCCCGTAAATCTGTGGCTTCGCCCGAAGCTTCAAAATCAGATTAGCAGATGATCGGCAAATGATCGGCAATTATCAAATTATTGGAAATTTTGGTTCAAGGCTAACTTTGGCAATACATTTTTTTTTGCCATAATACTTTTATAGTATATTTTTCATAAATTAAACTGACAAAAAAAACAATTAGTATAATTTGCCCGAGCATTTATGGCTTTACCCGATGCTTCAAAGTAGAAGTGATATGATATATATATATGATCGACAAATGATCGGCAAGGTGATAAAAGCATGTCCGCTATGCTCATATTACCGGAATTAATAACCTTATATCACGGAATTTATCGAATTATTTATATTTTCGGAGTTTTTACAGAAATAACGGATAAAATTTTTTATAGGGAGATCAAATGATTGAATTAAAATAAATCAATAAAAATGTTTTTATTTCTTCTTATTAAGTAAAAGATTATCTAAGGTCATGACATAATGACATATATTAGCTAATATTTAGGGGGCGGGTTAAGCAAAATCTTACATGACACAAAATGAAAAAAGATCTTACCTGGATAAAGCTCCTTATGAAACTAATATTAGCTAAGATATGTCACTGCCCTAACAAGTTTAATTCGTGATCCGTGTAACAATCGGAGAAATTTGGCAATTTTAATTAAGGGTTAATTATATATATCGTTTTATATATGAAATTAAAAAAACGAAAGAATCTATTCCGCCAGAAGTATAAATTAAAAATTAATTTTACAAATATAAAATCATGTTACTGGACTTCCCTTTACTTAAATTTGATAGATTATCAATTTGTGGTTCATGAGTAATGGAAAAATTTCTATTAATTTTAGCCAGAACCGAATATCTTATGTAAATGTAACACAAACTTTAAAATGCAATTTTGCGCCCTCCATCTAACGAAATCACATGATCTTTATACCATTGGATAGCCCGAGTTAGGAGCTTTTAAAAAGCACAAAACTGCAATCACAAAATCAAGTTACTGGACTTTAATTTTAAAAATTCTTGTAAAAAGTAATTGAAATCTTTTAAAGACAAATAACTTGATAGAATTATTTAAAAAAGTCAATAACTTATAAAAAAGGCAGTAATTTACAATATAGTATATATTTTAGCACAAAAAAAGTATGTTATTTTTATTTTTATATATCTAAAAATGTATGTAATCATAGAAACTCCTTATTTCTATTTAGTTTTTTCCATAATAAATATTGATTGTTTGACCGATCTCTGTAGCGCATTTGGTTTTATTTTTTTTTCTTATAACAAAAAATTTTTTTTTATTTTTTTTTTTTCCTTATATAAACCGAAATTTTTTTTTTTTTTATTATTACAATTTAAACAATCTGATCTGACTATTAAATTTTGCGGTTTTTTGTCCCCGAAATTTGTTACATAAATTAATTCCTCCTTGTTTGCCTTATTTTACTTCCCTTGCGCCCTATAAAAAATTTTATCCGTTATTTCTGTAAAAACTCCGAAAATGTAAATAATTCGATAAATTCCGTGATATAAGGTTATTAATTCCGGAAATATGAGCCTTTTACGGAAAAAAGATGGAATATAAAAACGGATCGACTTTTTTTACAGGGTCTACGGACAGATCAACACTCGCATACCGATCAAGTTTGTATTTTGTACAACAAACTCACTTTATTCATCTTTCCATATCAGTAGATATTAAATTCATAACAGATAACACATGAACATTGTTTTAATAGCGTATAACTTTATAACCATATTTAGACTTATTGACCGATATTTTTTTGGCTGATCGATATTACAACATTATTGACACAGAAAACTATAGGTATTTTATCTGTAAAGATTCTATAAAGATTAATATATAATCCAGATGACGTAATGCATCAAGGTATTTTATGTAATATAATTTATCGCATAATGTAACATTGCATACAGATAGTAGATTGTTACACTGTCCTAATTAGGTTAAGACTCGTTTAATATAAGATAATGCACCTATGAAGATCATCAATAGTTTGAATGATACTTCTACACGCAGTTATTGCGCATAAGACGATCTGTAAAAAAGAAAATCTACCAAGTTGAGTTAAAAAAATCATATCATATATATATGCGTAGAGGATATAATATCAATTACATAAAACAAACCATAATCATAATCAAAAACTCAACCTGATTTTCTAGGAGCTTACGTATTAATTTATTTAACTATTTAATAATACACAATAAGTCAATAAGCTTATTTGTAATATTTACGTAATTGATAAGACTTCCTTTTTAGTTCAGTCAAATAATCATTAATGTGTATACGTTTGACATACGTTTTTATAGATTCCGTATAACAATTCCATATATTTAATACGTAATTCATTTTTAAATGATTTTAAAAAAAGTTTAATGTATAAGAATATATACGGAAAATTAATACACAGAATTTTTAAACTTAATCCTTTTTAGAATTTTAGATAATAATTTCATCGTCATTCCTATCATAACATGTGATCACGTGATTGTTTATTGTTGTGATACGTTTTTTGTATTTCATATATATTTATTATACTGATAACTCTGCTTTTGATCTTCCTTTCTTTCTTTTATTTTTCTTATTTTGTCATTTTTTAAAAATTTATTTTTTCTTTTTATTTTCTAACTTCGTCACCCCCTTTAAAAAAATTTTTTTTTGATTTTATTTTTTTCATTCTCCACTTGCTACCCCTTTCTTTTTTTTTAAAAAAAAATTTCTTTTTATTGTATATATATATATCCCCATTTTTATAAAAAAATATTTTCTTATTTTCTAACTTTATTCATCGTTCTCCTTTTCCTAACTTTGTCATTTTTTTAAAAAATTTTTTTTATTCCCTTTTTTAGGCTTTTTAAAATTCTTTTATTTTATATTTTATTCTTTTTTTCTGTCTTATAGGTTGATATATTTTTTTTTTTGTCAGTTGAGCAGGTCAGTTCTTTTAACGTGAGTCAATTCTTTTTATGTAGATCAATTCTTTTTACGTGGGTTGTTTCATTTTCGTGGGTTGTTTCTAGAGCNCATTGTCACAATGTACATTATTTCGTAGTTCCGCACTTCATTGTAGTCTCAATCACATTCCTTTGTGATAATGCCGATCTTAATTAGTACTATGACTGTCTCTTATACACATCTAGATGTGTATAAGAGACAGATGTAGATCAATTCTTTTTACGTGGGTTGTTTCATTTTCGTGGGTTGTTTCTAGAGCTTAGATCCGGATTATCCGTTGATATTCACTGAATATGTATTATAAATCCGGATATCCGGATATCAATTCTAAATATTAATCCGGATGGTAAAATCCGGATATTCATAGGATATTCATTGAGTTTATTTTTAAATTTTATTCGTATCCTGATTATGGCCACCAGATTCTAAAAGCATCTTAAAAGCTGAATTATTGTTGTTGTTTCGTCATCTATATTTTGACATTTATCAAAATCTAGGTAATTCTCAATATTACTATCTACTGTACTTCTATTATATTATGTTTTTGGCTAGTAGACATCCTGTTTCTTTAAGCTAGTATTTTTTTTTTGAAATAACTCTAGACTACTTATAATATTCCATTGTTAAAATTTTATTACATCATGTTTACATTATATTTACATCATATTTACATCATATTTACATCGTATCTGAGATATCCGGATTATATTCAGTGAATATCCTATTTTCTTAAGCAAAATCCGGATATCCTATCTAAAAGTGAACGGATATATCCGTAATCCTAGGATATTCACTGAATAACCCATTAGGATCATTCACCGGATCTAAGCTCTAGTTGTTTCTTTTTTGTGGTTATTCTCAATTCTTTTTACGTTGGTTGTTTCTTTTCGTGGGTCAATTCTTTTTCGTGGGTTAATTTTTTTCATGGATTGTTTCTTTTTGTAGATTGTTTCTTTATTGTGGAATGCTTTAGGATTTTTTTCTCTATTGTAGGTCTTTCTGTTACAAGACTCCAAACTTTAGAAATGCTAACTCTTGGAGACTTGGATGATTGCAGTGAAGTTTGGCTTCTAATTGAGTTAAAGAAACATTTTTAAGTTTCTTTTTTTTTTGTTTTTTAGGTTGTTAGATTCTAGAAGACTTGGATGAATCTAGACTTATAGGTAGATAGGAGAAGTTGTTTATCTACTAGGAAATTCAAAGTTTCTTTTTGTTTTAGTTTGCAATAGTTAGGAAAGAACTTTTCATAATTATAATTGTATTTATTTTATTTTTATATTTATTTAATAAATATTATTTTTAAAATTAATTTTTATAATGTAACTAGCAATAAACTGTAGTTTAAGTGGTAAATTTTATGACCAAATTACATTACAAATCATCATAAATTCAGTGTCCTAATCATGTGAATTCCGTGTGAGTTTCATGCAAATTCCGTATCAAACTGCTTCTGATAATTCCATAATAAATTCATTCTGCAGAAATTATCTTTAATAAATTTTTTATAATTCTAAATTCTTAATTTCCGATGTCATTGTCACAATGTACATTATTTCGTAGTTCCGCACTTCATTGTAGTCTCAATCACATTCCTTTGTGATAATGCCGATCTTAATTAGTACTATGACGTAGTGTTTCGATCCGTTGCCGGGTTCAACCGGATAAACCCGGATAATTTTTTTTTTTAGGTATCCGGATAATTACGGTTTTTACCCGGATAAATATCTGGATAAAAAATGGTCGGATT